GCACCCCAGGGGCTCCCCGACACCCCCACCTCGGCCGACCGCAGCCGCCTTGCACGAAAAGGCCGTTTCCCACCGGTAGTTCCAGGGTAAAACAACAGATACGGCCCGGGTACATCTCCGATGCCGGAGGCAAACCAAAAAGAGCCCTATTTAAAATAAAAAAGGCAAATAAGAGTCTCACGAGCGCGGGGCTGGCAGTACCGTTTCCAGCCCCTCCGAGTACACCTGAGTGGCGTTACACACGCCGTGACAGGTGACGGCACAGGCTTCCCATCCGAGGGAAAGGGAACCGAAACGTCGAACGTGGGTGACTTATGGGAGCCCTGGGGTGAATCACTGCGGCCTCAGCACGGCCTCATGGCTGACAACACACGCACCACCTCCCTGCAAAACAACGACCAAGTTTCCAGCCTTGGCCGCTTACGGTCACTGCGATACCCAGGTTGTGGGGTTTTAAAATTTTTTTTATTACCTTTTGTCTTTTTGCTCACAGCGGCAAAGGGGGCTGGGGCTTTGGTACCAGCATTTTTCTCCTGATGGGCTCCCAAGGACTTGTAAAATCCCCCGGACAGGCCAGGGCACTTGCAATCACGGCTCCCACCACTTCTAAGAGCTCAGTGATCGGGGGAGTTGGTTGGATTTTATTATTTTCAAATTTGGGAGATGTGACTGAGCCGGGCAGCTTGCCACAGAAGTTATCCAAAAGGAAAACAAAAGCACTGCAAGCTGTTTCCAGGAGAATACAATGTGACCTGCAGAAAGGCCTTACTCTGACTCACTGGATGAACAGTGACAACAAATTTGGTGGAACTTGCATGAATTAGGATTATCTGTGTGAATAAAGGTTAGCGGGTTCATGCCCTAAATCCTCAGAATTTGTCAGCTATCCACACCCACAAATTTTATTGTCTGTTTATAGGTCACGGGGGTATTTGCGAAACACACTCGGTAAGCGTGCAGTATGACAAGAACACACTAGTGCTTTCTCTCGAGATTAGACCAGCCCACACATAAAACTTGCCAGCCAACCCTCATTTTTCCTACCGTCTTTCTGATGCAAAAATTTTGCCTGTGGACCCTCCCTCTCGCAGGCTCGGGGAGCAGGCACAGGGTGGGGTGACACAGTTACAAAACCCCAGTGCCTGGCGTGTCCCCTTGCACTGCATCTGTGCAGTGTTGCCAAGAACGCTCCCGATGCCCAGAGCACACGGGCTATTTTCAGACTCGCAAAAGCAGTTACTTGTCACACAGGAGACACCCACACTACATGCTTAGGGAGACTTTCTGCTTTGTTCCTTGTAAACTGCTTGGATTTTAGATTAAAACAGGAAGCAAACAAACAAAAAAAACCCCAAATCCCTACACTTTTGCATATTATGGGTGGGAACAGCAAAATGTCTGCAAGACAGCGGAGATGTGTCCCCCTCCCACACCTTCTGCAAGAAGCTGCAACTCCAAAACCAAGAACCCCTGCTGCTTTCTACCTAGGGAACCTTAGAGGTATAGCAGGTAAGAAACCAAAATGACCTTTGTTTCCCAGATCATCTAATCTTCAGAGGAAAAGCAGCAATGACTCCCTACAGTCACATGGAAGTCCATGTACATCAGCCTGAGCAGAGGGCGGATCTGACTGTGCGGTACCTGCCCCAACCCATATTGTTTTGGGCAAAACAGAAGTTTGTGGCATTTGCAGTCGCTGGCAATGGCTCTGCCTTGGGTTCCCAAGCAGCCCTCAGCCCAGCCCCACTGCTTGCTCAGTATTTCTCTATTTGACCTGCAGCTTTGGTCTCCTTCCAAGAAGGCTTCTAAATGTAGGTGAGGTAATAATTTTAACAGATTAAATACTTCCAGAAGGGGAAGCATGGAGTATTTCCAAGTTGATACAATAAGGACCAAATTAACAGAGAGGTCAAGAGTTCTAATTTGTAAAGACAGAAAGTTGTTAATCCTGATTCTGAGCACAAAAGCTAAATACTCTGTAGGCAGTCTCAGTCCAGTTGACTAATAACTGATAACAAAGCACGAATCCTGTTTGCCTTTAAGAATAAGACTTACTTTTTAATTATTATTCGCAAAGGAA